TGTAGCTCTTCTCCTTTAATGCACTTTAGCCATCCTCTGGCACTCAGAGAGTTAAAAAGGCAATTTAAAAGGGTGGCTGAGTTAATGCAATCTTCCCTATGCCTATTTAAGAAGGCTGTCCTGAGACCTTTGGTAAATAAAGCAATAAGAAGGGGGCTATAAGGAACAGGTTTTAACACTGATCTCTGTGGCATCTTCTTTGGAAATTGCAATTAAGGCCAGGAGACTTGTGTGGGGAGGGACCCATTCCCCACTGAAATGCAACATGAATGAAAAACTGCCATTTAGCTACAGTAAATAATTTATTTAATTTATTTGGGGTAGGATGGTCTTTTACACAAAATTCAAATATTTCAGATTTTTTAAACAAAGCTTCCATACCTTAGTGAAGCAAATGAGGGAAGTGATTGCAAAATCAAGTGACTTTATGGCAGGGGTCTCAAACTCGCAGCCCGTGGGACAATATTTTGTGGCCCCCACTTGATATCAAAGTTTAGTGATAGTGCAGCCCGCGCGTTTTTCTCACACGCACCTGCATGAGTCGTCACCCTGGGCGCAATGTTCCCTCTAAGCTGCGCGCCGGGGCACAGGGGAGGGGCCCTGCGGCCTTCAAAGCGCCGGCAGCGCCCAGGCCGGCCTCCGGGAGCCACGCGGGATGAGCGGCCCACCACCACCGCGGTGGTGGAATACTTGATGCGGCCCAGCCTCACCCAGACTCTACTTCCAGCGGCCCCCAGGTAAGTTGAGTTTGAGACCCCTGCTTTAAGGTCTTGGGTGCAAAGCAAAAATGCACCTCTACTCAGAAATAGCAGTGCCCCCCACCCCGTGCAAAAGTCAGCCCTAGGGAACTCTCCTCGCAAGTATGAAGGACGGGATTGTTCAGGAGTCTGTAATCATGAGCTTCTAGTTCTGAGCATGTCCAGGATGCATGCCTTTCATGGAATCACAAAGGAATATCCCTCGGCTGCCTGCCTGCTGCCTGCCTGCCTGCCTCCGCCATGCTGTTCCCTACCATGTGGGCTCAAGTCATGTCGCTCAGCAGCAGGAGGAGTTTCCGTAAAGCACCTGTTGGCCCACGCAGCTCTGCTGCCGCCCATCCAGCCCTTACCAAAGGATGGGAGTGGGTCTCTCCGGCTCCCAGCCATGCCCAGCCTCTCAGTCAGGGAGCACGACGGAAAGCCCTCACTTTGCAGGGTGGCAATCAGCAGCCCTGTGTTCTGAAGGCCAACCACCCCCCAAGCTGTGTACACAGGCAAGCTTTAAGAACGCAGTAGCATAATACTTGCTCCAGGAATGCTCAGACCGTCATGAGTTGTGCCTGCTCAGAGGGTCGCCCCAGTTGGTGATGGAAAGGGAAGTCAGCGAAGGGACTGCCTCCCAAGTAAGCCTCTTCCAGGGACTGAAAATCCCACAGTCTGAAAATTACTCCCTTTTTCTATCTTTTCCTCCACAGCCTCCCCTTATTTCTTTTCAAGTTACAAAGCTGTGCTGTAGTGGTTGTTACATTGTATGTTTTGTGTGGTTCCCATTTTAATTTCAGGAAGATCTTTTGAAAACTTGTGTGCAGTAATGCTAGATAATAAATTATGTTTAAAAATCTCATTTTTCTTTTAACCTTGATTCCCTTTGCTATCCAGCACCGCAAATACATTCTCACTTGAACACATTTCATCCCAAAAGCGCTCTCACCAAGTTTCACTTTCTATCTCTGGGCTATCTATCCATCCATCGAGAGAGATTCATTCCATGATTTACCCCATTTATCAAAACTATTTCATAGATAAATAAACTACACACCTTATCCCATCTGCGACTGGTACATAGGCTTGAGTTAATATCATTTTATATTTGCCTGTATTTCAATTACAGTGCTTGTGGTTTTTTTAGCCTTTAATCCAACTTAGATAAAAATCTATATACTCTTGCTTTGTATTACTTTGTGATCACGTAAGCATGTGGATATACTCAATAATATAAAACATTCAAGCTCGGATTATGTAGACCACCAGCTCAATGTTTATTCATTTTTGAAACATTTAATTATTTTTCATCTATTCTCACTGGGCCACATTGAAATAAGATGAATAAAGGAAAAATGATAATTAAATGTAAAATATATCCAGAGAAGGATATACCCATTTAGTTCCATTTAGTTTTAAAATGACTTATTAACTAGCACTAAAGAATCAATATCTCGTGCAAATACGTTTTGACAATAAATTCTTTGAATGTTAACTTTTTTCTATCCAGTGAAAGGGTAAGTGTGTTATAGTGCAATCGCAAGCAAAATGTATATGCAAGATACTGGCTTAATCAGTTCCTCAACAAAAATTTGATGAAAATTATCAATTATTTTGGTGCTCCACCTGCATAAAATTAAATTAAAACAAACAAATATATTTCAAGATCCAAGAGACCAAAAAAAGCAATTAACAGTGCAATCCTATACACACCTATTTGAAGGTAAGTTGTATAATATGCATAAAAATATTCACATCCTTACAAAATTCCTTCTTAACAAAAGTGATAACAGAAGCTCACAATTTTCCTTCCTTTTGACAATTGCTGATTCTTTTCTTGAATATTTTTCAAGTAACACGATGACCAAATAATGTATTTGTACTTTTCTAAAAAAAATACATATTTGTTTTCCCAACCTGATGTCCTTAGGTATTTTGAATTTTAATTCCCTGCAGGCCCGACCAGCATTGCCAAGGGTCAGGAATTGTCTAAAGTTCTTGTCTAAAATATCTGGAAGGCATCAGCTTGGGGAAGTCATCTTGAAGAAATTAATTCTGATAAATTGTCATTTTTTCAGACCTCTAATTGTTTCTTATATGCTTATGATCTTTTATATGTCCTCACAGTATGCTCATTTTATGGAAACTTTCTAACATCTCCTAGATTAAATAAAAGACAATTTTTATTTAACTGTTTATATTTTATGTCTTTAAAAAGATGACTAGAGAATAGCACTTCCTCTAACATAAACTTTGTTCATGTCCCACAATACAGGTCAAATCAGGAGTTTAGTTTAAAAAAATTGTCTGTGATTCAGATTTATACTTAAATACCTGTGAAATAATTTCATTTATCTTCTATTTTCTCAACTTGTTTAAAAATGCTATAATTGGATAACATAATGAGCAGCAATCTGTAGGTTCTATTGAAACATTAATTGTAATACTTATTAAAATTTTAGAGATAAATATCCATTCTTTACTATGAATTATTGAGCACTAAATAAATAATTATATATCAGAATTATCCAAATATCAGTTAGAGCTCACATATATGTATTAGATCTATGTAATACGTGTATATGTGTATATCTATATATCTATAGATATGCGCGCACACATATATACAGGGTGAGCCAAAAGTAGGTATATATTACTGATCAGATCATGGAGGTCTTCACACAGTGGACGAATTGAAGGAGTTCATCTTGCAAGCATTTATTAACATTAATGCTATCTGGAATTTGTGTCACCGTGTCAGAGGCCAGTTCCAGGAATGTTCCAACTTTGATGGAGGACATTTCAAGCAGCTAAGAAACTAAACATGACCCAACAGTACTGTATACCTACTTATGGCTCAGCCTATCTATTAGAAGTACTAAGAAGTACAACTTCTTCACAGACTTTGTTGTGTTACCAAGAGAAGTCCAACTGGTAGAGACAGCACCCATTCTGTGGTAGCACTCCAGCTGTGGCTCCCTCCATGGGGATGTCCGATTCACTCCATCTTTGCCTGTTGGGCCATAACAGTCATCTAGCCTTGCTTGCCTTTGCTGAGATTTGAATTGTTTAGGGCACAAGCCAATGCCTCATGCCTTCATTCTAAACCTCCAGACTTGTTTGAGAGGGTGGGGGTGTCAACCATCAGAGTTCCAGCACTGAGGCTGCAAGATCTTGGAGCTGAGTCTGCAAATTATTCTATGTCTTCCCCCCGCCCAAAAGGGCAGAAGGCCTTAAGATTGTGCCTTTAGTTACCATCTCTGCTTTTTTTTAAAGATGTTTTGTTCCAAGCTTAATTTGATTTTTGATATGTGATTGTTCTGAAAGTTGCATATTAGCTTGGGGGCCACTTGGGCAGACAGACAAATAAGATTTTTAAAATTATTTTTAAGTAAACAAAATCCCACCCAATATACTGAATAGGCTGCAGCAAGCTGCAACATTTGGTTGTATTTTCTCATTGAAAAAATAATATATTTTTAATCCTTTTATCCCATATAATCTCTGGCATTTTTTCACATATTCCATTTTGTTTATGATATGGCAGAAGATAAAAGATAATAAAGCAAACAGAAATGCTTTGACAAGCAGTTTTATCAGATTTCTGTGATCTAACCGTATCCATCTATCCATTCTTAATCATTTGTTTATTTACAACATTTTGCCCTGCTTCTCAGGTTAAAAACGGCTGCCAAAAAAGTTAAATCACCACTAGAAACACAAAAGAAATAATTTTTGGGTAGACAGATTGAAAACAAGGGCACCAATTTCTAATTTCAAAGCACTTCTAAGTGTTCTTTCTTGCTGGAAAGGTCAAAACAAGCTCTCGTCATTTGTTGCTTCTTTGGATGATACAGGGAGTCAGGCTGGTCCGTGCCATGATGTTTATCCTGGGAGCCACAGGAGGTGGGGGAGCTTCTTAAGCGGCCCTTGGTTCTCTGCTCAATGAATGCAGCTGTCCCAGGAAACTGCCAGTTGACTAAGGAACAATTTCAGAGAAAACTCCAAGTCAAAGTTTTGAAATGGTCATTTGATCAAGGAAAGATTTTTGTAAGCAATCTTGAAAGACCGACTTTGATGTTTACAGTTATCTGGTCTTCAATAGTGTAGAGAGAGTGCTACTATTTAACTTATTGTGCATGTTTTTGGAAATAAATTATAAGAAAAAATATCATTTGTATAAATGTTGTATAATTTGTTTTTTCCTGATGCTAACTTTTTAAAATTCTGTGTTTATAAATGCTTTCTTTATGGACTCAGCTACAGAAACGGGAACGCTCCTGCAGAGCCTATGTCCAGGTACTTTCAAAGTTTTTTCCCTTCCATATTACACTGTTTTGCTTTGATGAAGGTGATGATGATGATGATGATATCACGAATTTTAGGCATGGCACTTTGCAAAGTTATTTGGCGAAACTAGACAAATCCTTACTCCAAAGCAGTGTGCCATCTAAAATAAATAGGAAGGAAAGCAGCAAAAGGAGGGAAGGGTGGGACAGCAGATCATCTAAACAAAATTTACACAAGATCTTGGTTGTGTGTTGGTTTTGCTTTTGATTGATTGATTGATTGATTGATTAGGTATTTATCGTATTGTAAGTTGTCCAGAGACGATTGGTTAAGGATGGGATAAAAATACCCTAATAAGTAAATGAGTAAATAAAGGCTTCCATGCTACTGCTGGCAGGGCAGAAGCAGCAGCCAAGGGAATGTTCACCCCACACCCTCCCTTTCTTTTGCTTTCCTCTGAGCCCACTGGGGGTGGCGCATGGCCAGGGGCAGGGCTGAGGCTGGAGAGATCAGCATCCTTCGGACCACTCCAAAAGCACACCATGCAATCATTTCCATTTGGCTGCAAGGGACTGGGATGGGATGGGATCAGATCAGATTGCAGACATAGCCTCCCAAAGTCCTAGCAGTGTCTATAGCTTTAGGTGGGGAAATCCCTAAAATCCAGTGGTCCCTGAGATGCCCTACAGGGACCATAGAATTGCTCTTTCCAAGGATTAAAGTCAGCACCTTGAACCGAACCTAGAAAACAATTGGCAAGCAATACTTTCAGTATTTGTGCGATGTGGTCCTGATATCACGCAGGCAGTAGCATTTTGCCTGAATGGAAGCTTGTAGACGCTTGCTAAAGATAACCACATTGCAGTAATCCAACCATGATGCAACGAAGGCTCTGTGCTCTATTATTCTCTCTGCTTTATTTATGCTCTATTTATTCCCATCTCATTTATTACTGTTGCATTTACCTATGAGGAATTGCTTGGTTATGGGCAAACTGAAAACAACCAAATCACTAAGACTACATTTATTTATTGGATTTATATCCTGCCTTTTTTTCTTTCAAAGAATTCAAAGCAGCTCACATCATTCTCCTCCTGCTGCTCTCAGTCTTATCCCCACAACAACCTGTGAGGTAGGGTGGGCTGAGAGTCTGTAACTGGCCCAAGGTCACCCAGTTGGCTCCATGGCCAAGGAGGACTAGACCCCATATTGCTTGACTCCCATTCCTGCATTCTTAACCACTATACCACACTGGTTCTCTAATTATATCTGTCTAAGAATTCATCTGGTGAAATTCACACAATGGTGAAATTGCTGACCACCTTCAAAAATGCATAGTAAGTACTTATGACTAGCCTCTGTGCCAAAGGAGTAGATTGTGGCCAGTGTAAAGCCTCGAAGGGTCATGGGGTGGGTGTGTCCAAGACACAGCAGGCTGGTTGGCATAATGTTTGTTCTGGAAGATGGGTAGGAAGCACTCTTTGAGATGGTATCATCAAGCATATAGGAAGACAAATCTTTCTGAAGAAGCATCTAGAGGGCTTCTGCAAGGTACGGTATAACTAAGCATTTAGAGTTTCTGCAACTGTCAACACGCATAGGAGTGATCCAATAGACATGGTTTACTTGGACTTTCAAACCACTTTTGACAAAGTCCCTCACCAAAGGCTCCTGAGCAAACCTAGCAGTCATGTCTTTAGAGTAGAGAGCATTCTTTGGATCAGTAACTCAGCAGGAAACAGCACTTTGTTACATGAGGGTTCAAACCCACTGCTTTAGTGAGGCTTCCTCTGTTTTCCTGGTGGGAGGAAGAAAGTGTCCTTCCCATGGGGAGGTGCTGGCATGGTTTGTGTTTTGCTGCCTTTCTTTATATTTCATTATTCCACCACAAGATGGTGCTGTGTCATTGCTGCAGTATAGCAGAATTGCAACATTACGCAGAAGTTCATTCTGGTTTGTCCTGGATTTGAAATTTTATGTCTGCCTTTCCTTGCCATGTATATGGATGGAAAACATAGGAAAGGCCTTGTACTATGGCATTGTGAAAAGGCCCCACAAAATTCTGCAGGTGAGGGATCCTGGGGGCACAATACATGCCTCCTGTAGAGTAGCCAAGAGAGTAAGAATAAATTATCAGTTCTCACAGTGGAATTATGTAAATTAGGATCTGCACTATTTAACATGTTCACAAATGATCTGGAGATGAAGGCAAGTACTGAGGTAGCCAGTTCTGTGGCACCCAATTGTTTAAAGCAGCCTTCTCCAACCTGCTGGACCTCAGAGGCATTTGGACCACAACTCCAAGAATTGCTACCCAGCAGGGCCATTGACTGGGAGTTCTGGGAGTTGCAGTCCAGAGGTGTCCGGAAGGCACAAGGTAGGGGAAGGCGGGTTTAAAGGGCTTAAAGTAAAAGGAACAGCAAAGAGCTCCAATACTAACTTTCCATACATCAGGCTACATTTGGCATTTGCTTCCTTAAAATCAAGAGTTCAAATATGGCATAGTCACTTTCCCCCAGAGTTCCCATAGTTGCCACTTTGTCCACTAGGTCTCCCCGGTTGATTAGTAGCAAGTCAAGGATAACCTTTCCTCTTGTTTCTTTGATCAAAATGGCAGATCCTGTTCTATGTTGCAAAGTATAAATTGATGCATAGTGCGGCAAAGTAATGCTCAGCATGTGCAAACTGATGGGGTCCACGTTGGCAGTGTCTAACCAGGAAAGGGATCTTGAGGCTGTGTGTGTGACCGCTGTGATAAAGGAAAATTCCGTGTTAGAGACTGTTAGGGAAAAAAATCAACAATAAAATAACTGACATGATAATGCTTTTATGAAAAGCTATTGTGTGACTTTAACAGGAATACTGCATACCCTTCTCATCACCATGGCGTAAAATGTATATACTGTAGGGCTAAAGAAGTTTGAGAAAATGACAACAAAAATGGTCAGGCAATTAAAGCAACCTCCATGAGAAAGTACAGGATTGGAGCCTGTTCAACTTAGAAAAATGGTGAGCAAGCGGTGGGGTCATGAAGGAGTTGTAAAAGTAAGCAAAGTGCAGAGAAAGTGGATAACTGTCTCATAATACTAGAACCCAAGAGCATCCCATGAAACTGAGAGATTCAGGAGCAGTAAAAGCAAGAAATTCTTCACACAATGCATGGCTGAACTATGGCATTTGCCACCACATGCGTAGACAGATCGTGGAGGATAAGGCTGTCCTTGAATATAAATAACAATGACTGCATATTACTTCTGGTAGCAGAGGCAGTAGCATCATAGAGCAGCCCAGCTGGAAGGGGCCAGAAGGCCATCAGGTCCAATCCCCTGCTCAGTGCAGGTCACTGAGTTAAACCAGCCTTCTCAGATGGCTGTCCAGTAGCACCTCAAATGCTTCTAGTGTGAGAGAGCTCTAACAGTCAGGATATTTTAAAAATTTTATTTTGCTGATATCTAGCCAGAATCTGGCTTCCTGTAACTTGAGCCTGTTATCCCATACTCTGCACTCCGGGATAATTGAGAAGAAATCCTGTCCTTCCATTTTAACAGCTTTTAAGTATTGGTAGAGCACTGTCATATCTCCCCCTCAATCTTCTCTTCTTGAAGCTAAATATGCTCAGGTCTTTCAATCTCTCCTCATAGGGCTTTGTTTCCAGTCCCTGGATTATCCTTGATGCCCTTCTCTGAATGCTTTTCCTTGTTGTCTGCATCTTTCTTCAACAGTAATGCGCAGAACTGGACTCAGTGTTCCTGACACGGCCTAACCAGTGCTGAGTAAAAGGGAATTATTACTTCGTGTGATTTGGAGTGCAGCCTAAAATAGCATTGCCCTTTTTGCAGCCACATCTCATTGTTGACTCATATTCAGCTTTTGATCTACAGCAATTCCATGATCCTTCTCGCCTGCAGTATTGTTGAACCAAGCAGTCTCCATCTTGTAATGATGCATGTGGTTTCTCTTTCCTAGGTGTTTAACCCTATCAGAATCATCTTGAATCGTCTTTCTGTCTTTCAGGGTATTACCTATCCTACCCAGTTTTGTGTCATCTGAAAATCTGGTAATCAAATTCCTGCACTTCCTCATCCAAATCATGAACAAGAATGTTGAAGAGCACTGGGCCCGGGACTGAGCCCTGCTGTGCCCCACTTGTTACCTCTCCCCAGTTTGAGTCCAGTTCAATAGCCAGCTGTGGATGCACCTGACTATTGTTCCATCTGGTCCACCTTTAGCTAGTTTGCCATTCAGGATATCTTGGGGCACTTTGCTAAAAGCTTTGCTGAAGTCTAGATAGATTATGTCCGCAGCATTCCCACAGTGCGTCAGGAAGATGACCCAGTCAAAAACTGAAACCAGATTAGTCTGGAAGGATTTGTTCTCAAGAAATCATGTTGGCTTCTACTAATCACTGCATTGTTTTCAAGATGTTTTCAGATTGACTGTTTTATACTCTGCTCCAGAATTTTCCCAGGCATTGATGTCAGGCTGACTGATCTGTAATTCCCAGGTTCTTTTTTTTCCCTTCTAGAAGATAGGTACAACATTAGCCCTTTTCCAGTCATCTGGCATTTCTCTGTCCTCCACGATTTCTCAAATATAATAAACAGTAGTTCTGGGAGTTCTTCCACCAGCTCCTTTATGACTCCCTGAAGAAATGAACTCATTCAACCCAATTAGATGATCCTTGACTATTCGCCTATCAATCTTGAGTCGCCAAGTTGCTTCTTCAGCTTGCACTTCCCCTTCATCAGGAAGATCATAGATATTCTTTTCAGAAAAATCCGAGCACTTCTCTCTTTTCATCTGTTACCATTTTGCCATCCACACTGAGTAGCTGACCTCCCATTTCTTTCCTCTATCTTTGCTTTGAACATATCTGAAGAAGGCTTTTTGTTGCCTTTAGCATCCCTCACTAACCTCCGTTCATTCCTTGCTTTAGCTTTCCTCATGCCTTCCCTGCAAATCTGCCACATCCCTGTATTCTTCCTTTCTAGCTTGGCCTTCCGTCTACT